TGACCTCCACGAGTACCTGCGCACGCGCTTCCTCTGAGGGTTTGGTGTCTGAGCACCAAGGCTGCACAGTAAACCAGAGATTAATGCAGAGCTGAACAGAGTAGGCCAGAATACAAAGCAGAACAAAGGCCTTGCCTTGCCTTCAGTTCCTTGCCCATATTTTTGTTTTATTTATTTCATTTACTTCAGGAAAAACTTCCCGTGCCCAACTCCCAGCTTACAACCCTGACTTTGCAAAACTCAGGCGTGCAATAGTAGCCTCCTTCCTTTGCAGGAAGCAAAGCTCCTGGAGAGCCAAGTCCCCAGCAAATTTTCCAGGCAGCCAACACACCCTGGAAGCCTCATGCCGCTTCCAGAGGGTCTGGTCAGGCAGAGCCACTCAGGAAATCTACCCCTCAATGCCAGTCATCAGCATCCAGGGAGCCACACCAAGGTTTAGAGAGCCCCTGATCATTCAGCAAAAGCCATTAACTACTCCTAGGGAAGGTGTCCTGGGATCGCTGTTCCAGCCGCCTTCGAAAGACAGCCTGCAAAGCAGAGCCAGGAGCGAGTGGGAGAGCAGAGCCGAGACGTGGGCCTTCCCATCATGTGTTAGCAGGTCATTCAGAGAATCACAGAATCATTAAGGTTGGAAAAGCTCTCTAAGATCATTAACTCCAACCATTATCCCAACACTGCCAAGCCCACCACTGAACCATGTCCCCATGTGCCACATCTCCAAGTTCTCTGCCCTTGGCACCACACGCTCCGTGCCTTGCTCTGCTTCTAAAACACGCCAAAGGCCAGTCAAAAGGAGTTGTCATAGAATTTTTCCTTTAGGAAAAACATTTTCAAGGTCTCCTCCTTGCATCCACACAGCACAGAACCACAGAATTGTTTAGGTTGGAAAAGCCCTCTAAGGTCGAGTTCAGCCATTTCCCCAGCACTGCCAAGGCCACCCATGTCCCCGGGTGCCACATCCACGTGGCTGTTAAATCCCTCCAGGGATGAGGACTCCACCACAGCTCTAGTTAGCCTCTGCTAGTGCTTGACAACCCTTTCAGTGAAGAAATATTCCCTAATATCCAACATAAACATGACTCTAAGGCAGGCTTTGGGATGACAATGGTCTGCCACACAGGTTGAGCGCTAATAATCCACTGAGAGGAGCACAAAAACACAAACACACTTGTATCTGTTTTCCAAACTACAACGAAGGGTAGGAGGTGCTCTCATGGATTGGGAAGGCAGAGGAGCTTGCATGCCAATACCATGGCTGGGCCTGACCTACTGACATTTCTGCAGGCTCCCCATTCGTACGTGGGGCTGTCGCTTTAAATTTGAATTGCCTGGTTTTTTTCTCTCACAACAGCCTGATATTTTTTTGCTCGTGAAGAATAAATATTTACAAACCTTAACTCTCGCCAACAAAGGCATTCTGTTCCAGAATTTTCTTGGGCTTTTGTTCTGTTTTTAAACAGTTTTAGAAATCGTTGCCCAACACTTTAATTTCTGTTATTAAAACAAGCAAGTCAGTAAAAAGATACATGAAGGAGGGGAAGGACCACAGCGGCTCACAGTTCACATTCAAAGGTTTTCAGCAACGCGTTGAAAAACGGCTGAGAGCATCTGCAGGGGATAATAGCACAGGAACTCCACACAAGGACAGGTCACCAAGGTGTAGGAAATGTGTTTTCTTGGTAAACTAATGAGGGCTCAACAACTTCACGCAATGTGAGCTTGTAAACAGATTAAAAAACCCTAAAGGATTCAAGACAAAGCCTCGATGCGGCAGCACTTCTCCTCCAGCCAGAGGAGTCAACTCCACGTTCCTCCAACATCTCAAGAGCCGTAAACAAAAGCAGAGCCCAGGAAAGCAGTGACCAGCTCACCATTTATCAATCCCCGAGTACTTGACAGCCCACACACGTCCAGCAGCGTGGCCAAGCACAGAACACTTCACCGGGACACAGAGGAGGGTTCACGCCCCGTGTGGGGCAGCGAGCAAAGGTCAGGGGAGACATCTGGCTAAACAAGAGCTTCCAGCACCAACCCGAGGCCAGCCGCACTTCCCGTGCCCAGTGGAGTATAAAGGGAGTTGTATTTCACATTTCTGCCCTGTGCTGGCAAGAACATTGTGTCCAGCTTTTGTACTCACACCTACAAAAAAAATATTGTCAGAAACAGCAGGTTCAGACAATGGCTAAGATAATAATTTTGGGTGTGAAAAAACAGCCTTAAGGTGAGAACCTTAAGGAGTTCACTCAGCTTAGTTTCCCAAGAAGAAAGTTAAAAAGCAACTTGACTCTGGTCCATGCATTCCTGCCCAAAACAATGGTTAATATTAGTGGCTCTTTAATCTTGCTCACTGCAATCCAACCGCCGGAGGCTGGAGCTGCAACGTCCAAATCCAGACCTTAGGTGAAAATTGTTGCCATATGGGTCTGTGAGACTCGGATGTCTTTCCAGAAGAGATGTTCCCACTCAGTTGTCCACACAACCGAAATTCAGGGGGTCTATCCTCCTGCCCACATTATGCTGAAGCCAAAGCAGCTCTCCCTGATTTCCCTCGCCCATCCCAGCTCCAGAGGTGATGGTGGAGACCAGCTCAGACCCTACGTGGGTTGCAGGGCGAGGAGGTCTCCCAGACCACACAGCTGTAGAAATCTCTGCTTTCTGGATGTTTGTCGTAGGAAAACCAGCAGACAAGTAAGGACAAGGCCATGGCTGAGCTGCTGTGGGACAGCAAAGGGACCGTCAGAACATGAGGAGAACTCCAGCACATTCCCACTACAGCCACTGCCAGAAGGGAGCAGCCAGAATGGGCAGCCAGGCAGCTCCTGTGGACAGAGAGATGGAGAGAGCAGGCTGGGAGCGATGAGATAAATACTGGAGAGAGATGATGCATTGCATACCCCTCACACAATATAGAGCTGCTTCACTCTATTAGGTGGATGGATGGCAGGGAATTTAAGAAGAGAAATAGATTTTTTACTAAGCTAATTAGCTAAAAAGGCTTGTCTGGAAACACGGGCCCCATTGTGTCTGAAGTCTGCTGACACACAGCTCAGAGCAGCATTTTTCTTCCCTGCTGTTACTCTGCCTCTCAGAGCATCTCTCACCGGCAGAGAAGAGGGAGTGGGATCCCTGCACCAAACCACAGCACCCAAGACACCCACCAAGATGCCCAAGGGACACAGAAAATACATGTATAAACACATGTATGTGTTTATACATGTAGAGATGCACACACTTGCAGGCATCTCCATATGCACACAAACATACATTACTCATTAATACATTCTATACATGAAAATATCAGTATACCAAAAAAATAATAAAATCCATGGAAGAGCAAAGTTTGCCGTCAAAACCAGCCCCACATTAGCCTGCCCTGTAATTTAAAAGCAAACTGGGGGCACTTGACGAAACAAAAGGGCTGTAGATTTAAGAGAAATAAAATAAAAATACGACTTGACCCAGCGCAGTCACTTCTGGAATCCACTACCCCAGGAAGTCATGGAGACACACACCAGTGGAACAGACATTTTAAAGGACTGGATAATTTTATGAGCATTAATAACATTTGCAGCTATGCAAGCTAATAAAATGTTACAAGGGTAATCAAACTTCATGCTTCAATGTGTAAGTTGATCACCTGTGAGCGCTGGGAAGGAATTTCCTCTCTGGTGCTGTTGTGCTGAGCAAGTAGCCAGCTGTGCCACAGGGGTGCATTTTTATAAAAAAAAAAAAAAAAAAAAAAAAAAAAACCTTAAAATATTAAAACAAACCAAAAAAATCAGTAAAAAAAAAAACCTTAAAATATTAAAACAAACCAAAAAAATCAGTGTCACTGCTGCTGCCTCTGTCTCTTTGATTTGGTTTTCTCCTTCTGCAAGAGCTGGCACCCACCAGAGAGACACTGAGTATCAGTGGGAGCTTCGATGTCAACTTCCTAAAGTTTCCTGGTGCCGTTTTGGGACACCATATCTGCCACACTCCAGAAATAATATCACTTTACTCTTGGAGGGTTGTTCCTATGAGCTGGCAGCAGGAATATACCAAGCTTAACCTGTTGTTTCAGGACCACAGATCCCACATTTACTCTTTACTGCTTCCACACCAGACAAGTTGTGTTGGCCAACGAAGCACAGGCTCTTCCATTAACTCAGAGCCCCAACACAGAACAGCTCCAGGTATTCCCAGGAAAACCTGGCAGCTTTTGAGCTCTCTACCACTCCAGAACTACCCAGTGTGTTATTTATAACATCCGAGCAGCAACCTTGGTATTCCCAGTGTTTTCCCCCTCGGAAGTTAATGCCCTCATAATTAATGAGCTGACAGAAAACGCTGCAATCTGCTGCCACAGGCTTGGGGAAAAAAACGACAGACTTTGCTCCTGTGCCTCCCCTTCTGTTCGAGGGAATCCAGACACAGTTCAGCCAGCTGGGGAGGAGGCTGAAGGGAGGATGGGACACAGCAGAAGTGTCAAAATAAACCTTCTACTTAGAAATAACCAGCACGGGGGGTTACAGATAGAAGTCCAAAGGGCTGAAGAGGGTGACTGCGTGCTCAAACAAGAGACCTGCTCCAGGAGAATTCCCTCTCCAAAGCAAAAAGAGAAAATAGAGATTTTATATAATGTATATGGGTAAAACATGTTCTCTGGGCTTTCCACCAGCTCGCTGCGGTCAGCACACTGCAGGGTCTGCTGTGCTCTCCTGGGAGGTACAGGCCTTGGGAACACAGGATTACAGCCCACTGCTGTACCCTCCTCCATCCACCCATCCCTCCATTGTGGTTAAAAACCACATGTATCACCATGGTAACCAAATACCAACCTGAATCCTTCACTAAATCCGAGCAGCCACTGCCTCAGGTTTGGCTTCGCTGCTCATGTTCCACCTGCCCTTGGGAGCACCCTTTCCTAGGTCCAGGAGCCAGGAGTTGGAAGAGGCAAGACACACTTCCCCAGGACAGGAGGAGAAAGTCTCTTATTAGAATTAAGAGGTACATTACTTATCACCTGGGGTTTCTTTAGTCCCAAAGTCCTCATTTGAGCAGAAGGTACATTCCAAGGAGGACCATGAGGATCCATCAACCAGCCTGGCCATGCATGAGTTTGGGGCCATATTTCTTCTCCTTCCTCTCTGTCCTTAGAGGACTGGAGTTCAATATTCCTTTGAAGAGGGGAGGCAAAGGACATGAGGATTACAAGTGTCAGCCACCCTTTCATCCCCTAACAATCATTCTCACTGTGACAGTGTCCTCCAGGCTACAGAACCCATATTTTTCTGAACACACAGCACCAAGAATTACACTCACTGCCCTCCAAAGACCTTTCCAAACGACACCCCCTCCTCAGCCACGGCAGCATTTGGCCTGGAACAAGATATGCCCCGAGAAAGCCATAACTTCCCCCATCAGGAAAGCATTTTAAATCACAATTAGAAGAGTACCATCATCAGAGCCCAGAGCTGACAGCACATGTGATGTCACACACGTGAACCCCAGCAAGCTGACAGCAGCCTTGGGCCCTGTTAGACTGTCAAATTACAGGCAATAAAGTATGACATCATGATGACATCATGGAAGGAGAAATTTAATTCCCAGCTCAGAGGCTATCAGTTACTGCTTTACTCTAAAACCCGTCGTTATCCGCGTGAGCAATGAGCAGAATCAATCATCTCCACGGCTCTTTATGGCCACCATAAATTTGGAACACTTATGTCTCAGCCACCTTCCCGGGTATATTGGAGCCCATCTGTCGGTTCCTGCGACGCTCCCTCAACATCCCTGCAAAACCCACGAGCGCATTTCCCGAGGGAAATAAAAGACATTCCCGGCCGGGATGAGCTCACACACGTTTGGCTTCGGAGCGTTCAGGTACCTGTCAGCCCTGCACGTGGCTTCCCTCAGCCCCAGGCTGACACAGATGGATTCACCATGGACAAACCCTCCGACACCTGCATCACCTCCAAAAGCCGTTTTAAACTCCATTGTGACGAGCACTTCAAGATGTGCTTCGAGATCGCAGGCTGCCCATCTCGCCCCCTTCTGCCAAGGCATTTAAAAATAGATGGTAATAAAGTATTAATTTCACATATATAGCAAGCATGTGGCCCAGCAGGTTACAGCAGAGATGAACGTGCTCTCCAGTGAAATTGAAACAGGTGGAATATTTGGGGGATTTTTTATGAGTAGATGATACTAATCTGCCTACTCTAACAAACAGGATCATACACACAATTAACTCAGTCTTCATAACACCTCCAGCAGTGATAAGAGATGAATTTTTCATAAGATTCTTGATATAGAAGAGGTGTCCTTTGTCTTTGCCTCTTTTTATTGTTTTTTATTTTACCCATTCCTGAAAAAAAACAAAGCAGTGCCAAGACCTGAAAGTTATCTCCTGGAGCATCAAGTATATTGGAGACCTCCTGACTGTGATGAGCCAGGAAACTTCTCCACTGCAATGAACTCTTATTTCTAATTTCCTGACCTCCAGAGCATTAGATTAGGTCAGTCTGATCCTTATCAGCTACCTTGGAAACACAAAAATATCCTCTGTTTGCTCCCACCCCAGACACGATTCCCCACAGGGATTGAAACAGCAGGACTGACCCATTTCCACCCATTGCAACTGTATTTGTTGTATCTTACAGATCCCGTGCAAAAAACTCATCACACACAAAAGTGACCTCGCCGTGTTATCAGTGTGATTGCCAGGGACCTTCGAGATATCCTTGACTCAATCCCCAAATCCCTGCCCAGGATGCTTAATGGTGGTGCCTTTAAGGGAGTTCAGTGGCAGACATCAAACAGGGGATGGAGTTTTGACACACTTGTAACTGTTTGTTGGTGTTCGGAATGACCTTGTTGACGTGTAATCCCTGGGGAGAAGAAAAAAAAAGTCCCACTGACAGCTGGGCACAAAATATTCGACTTCTGCCAAGGATAACCTCGGTGTCAGTATCAGCTGGATCATAACCCAGTGTGGAGTTCACTTAATTTTCCAGATATTTCATGAGATAGTCTTTACACTATCTCAAGTCATTACTTCTGCAGAAAGATCAAGGATAACAAGTTTGGAGATGAAAGAACTTTTCAAGTCACCTTCTCTTTTCTGACAGGCAGTGAATAACCCAAAGAACAAGGCCACCTCATTTAAGAAGGGCTGTGGGACAAGTCACTTTTGGCTCTTGGTATTCAGGGAGGGCAAAAAACTGCTAAAATGTAATAACCCACCTCAGTTCTTAGGTCTTGCAGTCACAAAAAAATCACTGTCTCATTTCAGCTCTGCACCTCTGATTACTTGGAGGCTTCCTGGAAGTGTGACTTCGCACTAATATCCAGCACTGGGAATGATTTTAAAAGGCCACCGAGTTTCCCTTAACCCAATTTCCACGGTCCTCATCAGTTACACACGATTAACAGCTAATTATAGGCAGGCTCTGAGACAGCAGCCTGCATGCAACACTCACCACGCTCAACGTGGCTGACACACCACATAACTCCACAGCCACCAACCAGGAGAGAGAGAAAAATGGGCAAAGGATTCACTAAATAACCTCAAACCCGCTGTATAAATGTAGCTCAGAGTTAAACATTCAGAGCGTATGCGACCGTAGCACTGGCAATTACTGGATTTGTTACTGCCTCAACCATCATGACAGGCATTGAAATAAATCTCATTTATATGACATACAGTCATCTAGAAAGGCTTTTTTTTTTTTTTTTTAGAAATTCTTTTAAGATGTCAATGCACTACACATGGCTCCGTTTTGAGACCTCTCCAGACTGGAGATCAGACAAGATATACAAGCCTTTCAGCCTGCCAAGTTTCATACTTGTTAAGAGTGAGCCTGAATTCTGAGTGTTTTCTATACAGCGCCTCCACGAATGTGATTAAGGAAGGCCTCTTGCCATCAAATGTTGCTGCAGGGATTCAAACCCCCCTCTCACATCAGCCCAAAGGGCTGGGCTCAGCACTGCTGGGCTCCAGACATGCATTTTGTATTTGCCTCTGTAGCTTGGGCCCAGGAGCACAGCCCAGATGTTTCTCCTGGCTCCTCAGGCATCCCCACCCACCTCTGGTACCCTCCACCCCTGTCCTCTCAGTAAGTCACACAGTTACACCAAGCTGGAAGACGGGGTGGGGCTGAGGAATCTCTTAGTTGTTCTGGTCCAGGGATGCCAAGGATTGAGCAAGAAGTTACTGATGTCAAAAACTGTGTCAGGGGGGTTTATGTTGGATCTCAGGAAAAGGTTCTTCCCCCAGAGGGTGGTTGGGCACTGCCCAGGCTCCCCAGGGCAGTGGGCACAGCCCCAAGTCTGCCAGAGCTCCAGGAGGGTTTGACAGGGTGGAATTGTTGGGGTGTCTGTGCAGGGCCAAGAGTTGGACTGGATGATCTTTGTGGGTCCTTTTCAACTCAAGAGATTCTGTAATCCTATGAAACCCAAGAGCACCTCCCTGAAGAGGTCCCGTCTCCAAGCTCAGGGTGGTTGCACTCCTGAGAAACACAGTCCTGAGGTAGCAGCTTCACCACATCGCTCTGTCCTTAAATACTTTGGAAAGGGACATTATGGCAGATGCTGTGACTGGGACTCACCACATGTACCCACCGAGCAGCAAAGAAAACCACTTGTTACGTTCCTCCATTTGCGCATCACACCACCACAAATTACAGCTCAATTAGCCCCTCCTGGAATCCATCACACATCTCCATAAGAACATCGTCACAGCTACTGTGCTATCCAAGCAAGTCGAGGCAGTAAGCAGAAAGGGCTAATTGGGGAAGGGGGGAGACACTGCTTCCTGGTGTTAAAAATAACTGCCACTTCCAGGAAATAATGGTATAAATAGAAAATGAAACCATTCCTCCTCCAAAAATATTTCATAATTATGTGTCATAAAAATAATTAGGTTATGGTGAATTAGTACAAATGTTTACAACAAAATTGCCATGCAAAACATTATGGGTAATAACATGCTAATTGCTGTAGAAGCAAAAGCTGATTATGTTTCAGCAATATTAAAAGTTGCCAACTCGGCGCTACTATCCAAGCTACAATATCTCCCGGCAGCATTTAGGGACACAGGGAAAACTGGTGATGAGGGAAGGAGGTGGCAGGTAGGCAGCCTGTGCACTGCACTGTCCTTGCTGAGTGGCAATTCCTGGAAAGCTCATGCCAGGTAATCCTCATGGAGAACATACAGGGGGTGAGGTGCCACAGAGTCACAGAATGTGCTGAGCTGGAAGGACCCACAAGGACCATCCAGTCCAACCCTCAGCCCTGCACAGGAACATCCCCAGAGTCACCCCCTGTGCCCCAGAGGATCAGCCAAACCCTCCTGGAGCTCTGGCAGCCTTGGGGCTGTGCCCACTGCCCTGGGGAGCCTGGGCAGTGCCCAAACAGCCTCTGGGGGAAGAACCTTTGCCTGAGATCCAACCTACTCCCTGGGTATCTTAGTGAACACAGAACAGAAGCACCCAGGGCAGGTTGCAGCACAGTCACCTCTCCATCTGCTGCCAGGCCCTGACCCAGGCTGGGGCTGCCCAAGCTGGTCAGGAGTAGCTGATCTGGCTCCCATCAGGAGTGGTGCTGCCGCTCCTGCAGATGTCAGCTGTGATTCTGCTCCACCCAGACATCACCTGAGCATCTGCTCTGCCCAAAGGCAGCCAGCCTGCAAGACTCCATCCATAAGCCTGGACAGGATGGTGCTGAGGTGGAGCTGACGTGGCTTGCTCGTTCTGAGGTCCCTGCAGGTTGGATTGCTCTGTCTCTGCACTCCCTTCTCCAGCACAGCCCTCTCCTCTGAGTACCTGCTCGCTGCCTGGCACATCCCAGACCCTGTTGATTCAGGTACAGAGCACGTTCCACTGGCTCCAGCCAAGAGCTGCCACACCACCTGCCCCAGAGGGACCAGACCCCAGCCACAGGAATGGTTTTAGCCCCTGGCTGATGCCAGGGCAACACCCTCTCCACTCTGCCCACTCCAGGTCCTGTGCCCGGCAGGGCCTGCAGGTCTCCAAGGCGTGAGCTCCACGTGCCAGCAGGCAGTGACCAGATCTGCAGCAGCAGCAGCCTCTGCTTGAGGAGGTCTCTTTGACTGCATGGATGTCCTCCTGGGAGCTGAGCTGTCTACAGACACATCTCCAACCCACTGCTCACCTCACTCATACACCTGATGCTTTTTGGGCTGAATCCTCTTGATCCAAGATGTCTCAGAAGAATTGGGGTCTAAGTATTCCTAGAGCACAGGCAGAGGTCTTTCACACATCCAAATGTGTCAGTTGGGTTCCTTGTTCGCTTGTCCCCAGCTGTGGCCAAACGCTGTCTCACAGGGAGCACTGGGTAGAGTTAGAGGTGAGAGTTTAACGTGGATTTCCTCAAAGTTAGCAAATCCCTGCAGTGTGTCCTCATTCAGAACCGAAGTGACATTAATTCCAACATCATTTCCAACACAAATGATGTTAACCAGATTGCATTTGAAGGGGGGCATTCACAGAGAACTTTAACATAGTTTAACTAATCTTTCTGAGTAAATTTGGCCCGAACCCTCTAAGTGCCCCCTATTCCAGTTTCTCCTGAAGGGGTTGTGCCGACTTTTACCTTTGAAAACTTGATCATCATTGTCCCTTTTTTATAGGGTTGGAAATCAGTGTCTCTCCAAAAGGCAGAAACTCTTCATCACCCACCACAGATAAACCAGTGCCTGAAGCCAAGGCAGTTCTCATCAGAGGGTGAACGCTCCCAAGGGCAGGCAAAGCCCATCGCTCATGGAAGGTGTCCCTGCCCACGGCATGAGGGTTGGAACTGGATGATCCCCAAGGTCCTCTCCCATCCAAACCATTCTGTGATTCTCTAAGGGAGCTGTGGACCTTTGACAGTGCCCCAATCCCTCCCATCTGCAGCTCCAGCGATGCCCTTCTCCCAGTGCCGCTGGTGCCACTCCCGAGTTTGCAAATACTGGCCGAAAGCAGCCGTGGAAGTGATGTTTTTTATTATGTTGTTTTGTTTTGTTTTTTTTCTTCCACAAAGCATCGTTTCAGATGTTAATTCCGAGGCTGGCTAATGAGAGGCTGTGCTGTGAATAGGCTCCACAAGCGGCTCGGGGCCGGGCTCGCCCTCCCGCTCAGCTCCGCCGTGTTAAAAGCCGCGCTCGGCGGTGCCGGAGCCCGACCCTCCGCTGTGCCCCGCTCATTATGCGCCGAGTCACACCGGGCAGCTCCCGGCAGAACGCGGGCACGGAGGTAAACTGGTGTTTGGAAACAAAGGAGGGCTCTCTCCATCCTAATTAGCGGCAGGTTGCAGAGTGCAGCGGCGGAAGGCGAAGGTCACTTCCCACAAGGCTCTGCTCAGGATGCCAAAACACCCACTTAATTCAAGCGGCTCAGCAGGCAGAGTCAGACCAGAGCAATTACAGTCCCTGGATTTCCCCACGGAAGGTTTTAACAATGCAACTCCTAGGAAAAAAAGATGACTGCAGGAGCTCTTTATTGTGCCACCTTGGAGCAGGAGGAAGCTCAGCCCACCGCGCCACCGACTCCGGGAACGGCACGGCTGTCCTTTTGTGCCTCTGCACTGGGAGCCCAGCTTGGAGGGTTGGCTTTTTCTCTTTAGTTTTTTTTTTTATCTTGAGAAATGAATAAGAGCAAATTTTAACATTTAAAAAACAAAGACCAAAAAGACCCACAAACATCAAGACCCTTTGTAGTGGGTTGAGTTCCCTCCGAGTACTCCAGGTTTTCTTGCAGATGCTGCCACTGAGAATTAACCTTTAAAGGAACCATCTAAGCATGAACCCTGGGAGCCTTCTTGGGAGAAGCAGCTCCTCTGCTGGGACACTCCTTGCCTGGCTCAGCCCAAGGATTCAGCTGTTCTGTTAAATGATTCACTGCACCTCAGCCACCTCACACAGACAGCTCTTCCAAAAGGTCAAAGCGCCGCTTTTACCCTCAGCTGATATTTCCTCCTTGCACACCCTCCAGGTGATGTGCGTCCACATCTGTCCTCCTACACACACCTCTCAGCTCCCTCGTGCAGCAGCTCTCCCTTCAAAGCATCTGCACAGCCCTTGGCACCTTCTGCCGATGGCAGGAGCATTTCCCAGGGGTGCTGTGTATGAGCCCAGCTCCCTTCATCCCTTCCAAAGGCTCCAGAACGAGGAATTCGTGGTAATTTTCAGTGGGAAAGGAAGACTGAGATTTTTTAAAGTTATTTATTTTTAGCCTGATAAACAAGAGATGCAGACACCATCTGGATCCCTCCTCAAAGGCTTCAGATACAACATGCTGTCCAGATCCCTCTTCCCTGTTCCAGCTCACAGCAAGTGCTCACCAGCACGTACTAGACAGGATCCACCCCAGTCTGTCCTTGGATGGAATGGCTCCAGCCAGCAGCTCTGCAGGAGGCAGGGCAGCCATAAGCTTAGTGCAGCTTTCTTTAAATCATTTGTGAAATACATTTCAGAGGACAACCTGCAGCCCTTTCCCTCCAACACGCTCCACGCTGTTCAACAACCATCACCCGCCACTGCAGACTCCCTGCCTTCCACACCTGAGTCACAGCTGCCTCGTGCTCCAGAAACCCACCCTCCACGTTGGACCATCAACCCCAAAAGCATCCTTTAGAGCTGCAATTCGCCCTTCTTTCCACTCCCAGCTACAGTAACAGTAACTAATACTCAGCGCTGGCATCACAGAGGTTTCCAGCTGTTCCCAAGCAGCCCATAAAATCACCGGCAGTGCTTGATGGGGCTCCAGTGTTCGTGCATCGCAGCCATGCCCGCTGCTCCCAGCAAAAAGAGCGTGTTCGCCTGGCACAGAGCTGGGGATGGACCAAGGGACATGTCACGTGGGTCTCCGCAGCTCTGTGCCACTCTTGTTCGGTCACAGGCTGCAAAGCCATCATCTATCCTGGCACATCTCTTGGCAACAGATTGACTTTGCAGATCTGGGTGGCTGGAGCTGAAAAGTGGTTTTCTGTTTGCTCGGGAGACGTTTGCCAGGTCCCTTCTGAGAGTGCTGAGATGGTTTTAAGTGCAGGCCTGCCAGGAATAATGATGCTCGATGGGGAAAGAGAGGTTTTCCACCTGGGATGGACGGCTCTCCACCAAGCTGGTAATTCCTTCATGCCTCCATCACTCATGTTAAAACCCTGAAGGATCCTGCTTGTCCTCTGGCTGCACTCCCAGTCACCCCTGGCCATAGCACTGGCCACTGCTCCCACAGTGGATCCCATGGAGATGTCAGCTGTTTTTTTCTGGTGCTCAGGTTGTCTCTATAAACACTTAAAGTGATAAAACCCCTGGCCAGGTGAAACAGGGGACATTGGTACCACCACCCTCCTTCCCCCAGCACACAGGGGGAACACACCTTTACCTCCAGGTCTCCATCAGTCCAGGTGAGAGTTAGTTCTGGTCAATCAGCCAACACTCACAACAACCAAAACTGCAGCCAGGGCACCCGTGTGCTCAGCTCTTTGCCCCTTCTCCCCATTAAAAGCAAACTCATAAAATCACTAAATACCTCGCAACCAGCAAATCACAAAGTTGGCCTTCTCCAGCCTTCTTTCCCCGACACTCATTGCCTGCAGAGCCAGAATGAAGAGCTGTCTCCCTCTCCTCTCCTCCTCCTCCACATCTCCAGAGCCTCTGCTCCAATGAAGTTTTAGCTGCTCCTTTTTCTGGGCAACACTGGAATTTTTTCCCCCATTTTCTTCCCAGCCCCACTTGTTGCTGGGAGACCACTCGAGACAAGAAGCTGCTCTGCTCACCAAAGCTCCTACAAACATTTGACAGGGCACCTGCCAAGCACAACAGCCAGTCCCAACACCACTCATGCTGTTGTTATTAAGTGGGAGATCTCTCGCACCTCCCAGGCATAAGGAGAGGGTGAAAATACAGCAGTGTAGCCCAGTTCCCTCCCTTCCCACCAGAGCCAGGGAAGGTCCCTGGTCAGCTTCTTCCAGGGACAGAGGGTGCTGGCAGGAGATGAGTACCAGCGAGGAGCACTGAGTGCTGGAGCATCCCCGCACTGAGCCAACCCCACAGCTTCCAGGGATGCTCTTCCACTGCTGCTCCACAGGTGCTGGAAACCACCTGGGACTTCAACCTGCTCTCCCAATGGAAAACATTCTGCCTACAGTCTCCAAACCCACAGGTGGGAGGAGATCTCCATCCTCGGTGCTCTGCTGCCCAACACAACCCTGCACCCTGACGGACCCTCAGAAACGCCCCTTCTCCTCCGCCCACTCCCCCTCCGAAGCAATTAAACCCTGGCTGCCAGGGCTGGGCAAGATAAATGGTGTTTATTGGGATGGCTTTCCTGCATGCCAAACATAAAACAAAATGCCAATCGATACAGCTGCCTCACCTGATGGGTTTATTTCCCCTCATCCTCCCACCCCTGCTTTTAATTCCGCTGTGTGCCAGAGCCCTCAGTGGGCCCTGCGCCGTGGTGATAAACCAACAGATCCTCATTAACCCCCAGCCCGTGGGCAGCAGCAAGAATTCGCCTTTTCTCTCCCTTTCCCTTTGCCCCTTTTTTATTTTTTTTTTTTAACAAAACTCTCCCTCTATCAATATTTGATGAGGGTAATTTCAAAGACTTGTTTAGTATGATCTCCACATAAGGAGTCCTTCGGAGTGTTTATCACGTTCGAGGTATAATTACATTCAAATCCTGAGACACAGTTGCCAGGGTTACAGCTGCTGGTGGTTCCTCCAGCTTTTGTGTGTCTGGGGTTTCTCACCGCCCCCCGTGCACACACACACACCCCACGCTCTGCTCCTTTTGTGGCTGGGGTAGGACAGGAGGGTGATGGGCAGGTCATGGACCAGCAGTGGCCAGGGCAGGGCACACCAGCACCTCCCAGCCTGAAGAAGTCAACATCACCATGCAGGGTGTACCAAGTGTGGGATTTTGGGGTCAGGGATGGGGTAGAGGGAGAGCTGAGCAGGGATTTGAACATTGCTGACAAAAATATTACAGTAAAATCCTCCACCAGGGACAGCACCCAGGGAATGGCTGGAGCTGTGTCAGGGCAGGGTCAGGTTGGATCTCAGGCAAAGGTTCTTCCCCCAGAGGCTGGTTGGCACTGCCCCGGCCCCCCAGGGCAGTGGGCACAGCCCCAAGGCTGCCAGGAATTGGACTGGATGATCCTGTGGGTTCCTTCCAGCTCAGGATATTCCCTGATTCCATGAACCTCAATGGCTGTAGAAGCTCCATGGAAGGACAGGCAGCAACACTTTCCTTCATGCCTTGAATCCCCAAGTGAAATCTAAAGAGTGAAGGCATGAATAGCCAGGGATAGAGGGTTGCAGAATCCCAGGGGAGAGGTCCAATGATGCCAGCACTGCTGCCATGCCAGCCTGGGAACTCCAGCCCTCTCAGCCTTCCCACCACGAGGGCAAGGGTGACCACACAGTCCTGCCACAAGCTCCTCTGCTCTAATCAGGAGAAGCTTCCTGAAAGACACTTGATGCCCAAGAACACCAGCTCTGCATGTGCCAAGGCATTCTTGGGAACATTCCTGGCAGTAATCTGGCTTAAAGCACATATATATGTATGTATATACATATATATATATATATATGATGGGGGCTGTCTGCTGGAGACCTGGTCCCACATTACTGATCAAGCAGAGAGGGGAAAGGGCTGTTAACTCAAGCTCCTTAACCAAAGCCCAGCTGCAGTAGGGCTGTGTGTGAGAGGCCAGCTGATCACCAGAGCTGGGAACATCCCTAGCTTCACTCAGCTGCTGGTGTGGACCTATTGGGATGCCTTTAAGACCCTGCTAACCTGGAAGAAAATAAAACCTGAGCATTTCCACCGCAACACAACATCCCACCCCTGCTGCACCAGCTACTTGAAGATCCCTGGGTCACAGGCAGTGCTTGAGGAGGAGTTAATAACAACCCTCAGGGAAGGGACAGCCCAAGGAAAAGCCCTTCCCTGCTCCTGCCCGAGCTCTGGGGCTGAACGAAGCCTGCCCAGCTGGATTTATCTCCCTTTCCCAGCCTCCAGACAGGCAGAGACTCAGCTCATACCTTGGATTTCCTGGACAGTGTCAGTAAATGCTGTTGCATCCCAGGCAGAGAGGAGCTGGGACTGAATTGCCTTTGTTCTAGTTCCAGTTTTAAATAATATGAACCTTGGTACAATAGGCAGCGTTATCACTAATCCCCACAGCTGAGCCTGAAATAAGCTTACAAACCATGCAGCAGGCACTGTGGGAAGAACAATTATTCTGACAAAGGATGGAGAGGGGAGGAAACAACCATGAGCTCCTTGGATTAGATGGAGGGTGAACACAATTGTTGTCAATTCACCGTAAATAAATAATAAATAACATTTAAAAACCCACCAAACACGAAACGAACAAACCCAAAAAACAACTGCAGCATGAAGGCCTGGTAAAATATTTACAATTATTTCAAATAATAGAAAAAAGGTACACACTATAGCAAATAGGTTGTAAAACAAATTCAGATGGAAGCTATTGTTTACCCCTAAATCAGCTCTAATGCACTGGCAAATGTGATTATCTGCATTCTGAGGGAGCAGCAGCATCTGCATTCATTACAGGTGTGCTCAGTGAAGGCTCTCTTGGCCACAGGTTCATTTGTAATTATTAAAATGCATCTTGTTAGCCTTGCAGCAAGTCCCAAATTTCTGGGCACTGGCACATGCAGTATTTGCTTTAATTTATTGTGTGTGCTTTATGTATTATTTTACTGTGTCAATGCCACGGTGCAAATGAGAAACCCCAACTCAGAGGCACCAAAGGGAACAGAGCCGAGCACTTGGTGTCACCCGTGCACTCACAGCTGGCACGTTCTCAGTTCCATGGGGAAAGGTTTCCCATCAAGGACAAACAGCCAGAAAGCTGGCAGCCACCCTGGCTGCTCCCACTGCCAGGGCTGGGAAAGGCACCAGCTCAGTACCTGGGTGCACACCAAGGGGCAAAGCAGTAATACAGGAATGGAGGAAACTCGTCATCTCCCTAAGGACACACGGCGGTCACTGCTGGGCCACCCTGTTCTCCAAAATAACAGCAAATAACAGGGAACTGACAGAAAAGCAGGAAGGGAGAAAAGCCACAAGATAATTTTCAGCATGAGATGGGAGAGATCATGGAATGGTTTGGGTTAGAAGGGACCTTAAAGCCCATCCAGTCCCACCCCTGCCATGGGCAGGGACACCTTCCAC